GGTGTTCAATTTTTTCCCCATAGGTTTTTAACATTCTAAAAGCTCTTTATTCCAAAGATACTACAAGCTAGTCATTGTATTCAGTAGGTGTAATGTATTCTAAGTTGCTTCAGAAGTATTGCAAATATTACGTACAACAATAAAACAATGCATTGACATAAAAAAGGAAATTTACTTTTGGTACTTAAGTACTTTTAAAAGCAAGTACTTCTGTACTTTTACTTAGGTAAAAATCTGTCTTTACAACTTCTACTTGTAATGGAGTACTATTTGACCAGCAGTATCTGTACTTTCACTCAAGTAATGGAGTTGAGTACTTTGTCCGCCTCTGTCTATACTCTTTGACTGTATTTTGCCGCTCGCATCCAGTGTAGACACACGGTGTTTAATGTCGTTGGTGAGGAGGAAAGCCTATGTGTGTCATGTCATGAAACCCACAAAAAATAAATAAATAACAGAGAGAGAATAATAATAAAATTAATAATAACAGTTATTCTCTCTATGCTATTTTTCAATGTTTCAAGTGATGCAGGTGTCTTTTCCCCTGTAGGTTTTTTACATTTAAAAAAGCATAAATTTTTCATAATGTTTAGTGAAATTATTTGGTAGTCTGAGGTGGGATGGGGATTCGGGAAAGGGGGCAGATTTTTTTATAGGTTTAAAGGGGGGCGCGACCAAAAAAGTTTGAGAACCACTGGTCTAAAGTTAACAGACAGTGTTTAGTGCAGTCCACGTGTATACATATGTTTATTACAGTGGCTTTGAATTACCTAAAGTAGTGTGGTAAAGCAACAGATTTGTTTTTATATTTCTGCAATCTCCTTTAATTTGTGTGATTTGTTACTGACTTTCATATTGTTTACACCAGGCTTATTTGTCAGTGCTTTATGTAGTCATAATTATTACATGCTTACAAGGTTGGAAGTTCAACAAATCAGTCAATATACTACTGTGATTGTAGTTGTTAAATAAAAATGTCATTCATATCAATTCATGCATCAAATAATTTGTAATTTCATCATAACATATAGGCCTGGCCTACAGAAAGGAACATTTATGTTTAATCTATCTAATAGTGTGTTGGTCATACTATAAAATGATTTATAGCTTGTCTTTGTTGAATAATACAGAACATAAAGAGCTTTAAAAAAATTGCATATTAAATCGCAATCGCAATATTGGTAAAAAAAAAATACAAAAATTTGCAATTAGATTATTTTCCAGAATCGTTCAGCCCTACTGTACATGATAAACGATGACATTTTATGACCAATTCAAATGCAAAAAAACATCAAATTCCAATGGGTTCACATACTTATTCATGCCATTGTAAATAAAAAATAAATTGAAATGAAGTTACAAAAACTAAATAAATAAAAGGGCCTTTCTACTATTTTTGTTTGTTTGATGAGAACCCAAAAATTACAGCTCACCCTCTTTAAACAAAAGAACAAAACATTTTGCGCAATTTCTCAGCAGATAGTCAATAATGGGCCGAAATTGAAGCCATTAATCTAAAAAATCTTGAATGCATCCCTTGTGACCTGTTAGATTTCAGTCTATTAAACAAAAGGAAGAAAAGCTTGACTCGCTTGATTAAAGCAACACAACACAAAAAAACAAAAAACCTGATGCCACATTTGGACATGCTGCTGCTCCTCCTCAAAAGCCAAACCAGGTTTGGGAGGGGGGAAAAAAAGTAGTGCCCATGGGAGGCCCCCAAACGTTTTATTAGCGTTCTGTGTGCGTCGACAATAAATCCCCTTACCGTGCAGGAGACGCTAAACAAACAAAATTACCCCACACAGCAAAGACCACTTACCGGTCAGGTTCATTGCCTGCAAATTCGCTTGTAATCTAGGGTGCTGGAAGCCGAGTGGGGGGCTAATGGTTGGCCAATAATTAAAAGAAAACAAAGCGCCATGCTGGCTGGCAGGCCTTTCTCTGCGAAAATTAAATCCTGTTTGGATCTGAATAAATTAAATGTTTATTGCTCCCCGAGAACACACGGTAAAGGGGGAGGAAAACGAATGACAGAGGAAACGCCACGTATGAGGGAATGCTGCAAAGACAATCATCGGCTCTAATTAATGCATTTCCCCGTCCTCTCAATCTGTTTCTGTTTGACTGTTGTCTGATTGGAGCACCGCGATCGCAGGTGCAAATCATAACCTGTCATGGCCAAATGTGTTTACCGGGCTGAATGGATCACGCCAGCTCCAAAAAACATCCTGGCGACTGAGATGGGGGAACCGGAACGGAGCGCGGAAGACAGAAGATGGCAGTCAGAGTGCCAAAGGTTATTTAGAAATTAAAAAGTCTCTGCTGTCAAAACTTGAGGGATAATGCGGGTGAGGACGGTAAAGCATTTCATCACTATATTAGCGGAGCTGCTCGCTGATCTGTGAATAACTGAGAGAGTGAGCATTATTGAGTTTGCACCTCCATCTATCCATCTATCACCTGCAAGCAGGTATCAGCGTGATGAATGAACCCGCCTCCCTCGCTTGCTCTCGCCTTCTGACTTTTGTCTCTCAATCCCTCGCTTTTGTCCCCTCTGAGGTCCGTCTCTTTCCTCTTCTCCCCCACTCTTTGATCTCTTTTTCCTCCTGTCACTTCTCTCTGAAGTTCTTCATTTAAGCCTTTTAATTCTCTAGTAGACTCACCTGTATGCTCTGACATTCTGTAACTGTGTATGTAACTCACGTTAGCAAATGGCAGTGTATAAGTCGGTATACATTTTGTAATCAACTGTGAAATTGAAATCAATTTCTGAGTGAAAATTGTTTGTACACCAATTTTTTTTTTCAGTTTCGTAGTGACTTTAAAGGAATAGTTCACACAAAAACGCACATTTTGTCATCATTTAATCATCCTCATCTTGTTCCAAACCTGTTTGACTTTCCTTCTTCTGTAGAACATAAATGGAGATATTTTGAAGAATTCCAAGCTACTCTTTTCCATTTAAAGAAGCTTTTTTTATGCAAGTAATTATTTATTTTTAAAAAAGGTCCCAGGGTATCTGAAGAATTTTTCAAATCAAATTTAAGACTTAAGACCTTTAAAAAAACAATACCAATGCTGTATGTCCCTACAGAACAAGCTATATAATCTCAAAATAAATCATGTAACTCAGATTAAACAGGCAGCAAAACAGGGTAACTGCAAATTTAAAATAATCAAGACATGTTTTATTCAGTATATACATAAATAATTAAATTGGTTTGTGTACTATATACCAATATATTTGAATTTGAGGTCAACTGATATTGGATTTTGGTGGTGATAATGTGTTTAAAGAAAAGCAATAACTAGGTTATTGTGCTAATACTAGTCAAATCTATTTAAATAATGTTCTTAGTCTTTCCTTCCTTTCCTGAGCTGAATTAAATGCCAAACAGAATATTGTGTGACCAAGATACCAAAAATGAAAAGATGCATCAGTTTAACAATCACATTAGACCACATCATGCTTTTTGTATAGCCCTCCCCATATTTAAGACCTCTTAAAACGATAATTAAGACTTGTGTTATATAAATATAGATATTTAAGACTTTTTATGACCTTACATTTGATAAAACTGAATTTAAGATATTTTAAGACTTTTTAGGACCCATAGGGACCCTAGGTCAATATTGCACACTGTATTCCAAGTCTTCTGAAGCCATGCAAATAGCTTTGTTGTTATCTGCTATGTTTTCTAGGCTATGCTTTCATGTCATTTGTGCTTGATGACCCAAATAACTTTCTCTATATGGAAAAGAGCTACCAGGGCATTCTTCAAAATGTCTACTTTTGTGTTCTACGGAAGAAAGTCATTCAGGTATGGAATGACATGAGGGCGATTACATTGGCATTTGTAGGTGAACTATTTCTTTAGCAAACATGGCCTTTCCCCTTTTTTTGAGATGCATTTTACAACATCCATTTTGTAAACCATCATTGACCATTAAAAAAAGGTGTTGAATCTTCAATTTTAAAATGAAGTTACGGAGAAAGATAAAGTCAGCGGCGACAACTGTTTCTTGCATTCCCTCCGCAGATGACGGACAGCTTGCAGGTGGGTTCATGCCTCAGTGCGCTAGCATGCTTATCTGAATGTCAGCAAGGGTGATTAGTGGAAAACTATGGAAATCAAAAATGCTAATTAATCTGCCTCACAGACGAGGCGCATTAAAATTCGCAGATCTCTCAGATGAGACACGCCAAGCTTAAATTTTGAGGTGGAGGGTTAAGTTGCCTTTATGTGGAATTATGATAAAATTGTATTACTGAACATGATTACATAACAGCAAAAACTGTTCAGAAACTTCAGACGACACAAACGCAAATTTAATAGACTAATATGAAATATTGATGTCTATCTGACACGTTTTCATTGTAAGCGACATTTGGCAATTGCTCTGATATTATTGGCCTGATCTATTTCAGCAAATCAGCTATACAACCTTATTGACGTAAACAGACTTTTTTTCTAAGAGCAGATCTCAAAGCAGAGATTGGAGTCATATGTGCATTTTAGATAAACACTCGACTGCTCTGCTCGCCTTTGGGGAGATGTTCTCTGTAACCTGGCCTGACGCCAGCTCATGGTTTCTGTGATGATGATTCCTCTCAGCGGCACGCGGCTGAAGACTGCTCGTCTCCAAGTGCCACCGTTTCACAGCACTGCTCCCAGCAGACTCAAAGTGCTAAAAGCAAACACTCACGGTCCTGCGGAGCCCTGACCCTCCTCCTAACGGCCTGCTTCCTCCCTTCCCCTTCAGAGCTGAGAGTATGTGATTTGTAAAGACCGTAGAGTTGAATATTAAGGGGTATATATATCATGTTTTCTGTCCGAGTTCCACATTCGTTTTTGCCCAAATGTCATTATTTTTGAGTTTGAGTTTTTTTAAATATTTTATTTTATTTAAAGTAAAATGTTTTTATGGTTTTAGTTTGTGAAATGACCTGACAAAGTCATCTGCTCTATTCTGTAACAGTATCCTGTATAGTTTACCTGCAAAAGCATTGTGGGATTTCTCCCAGGCCGTACAGAGGGAACAGGAAGGGAGTGTTGCCGTAGCGACCCAAGCATCGTAGGAAGTGCTGCGTGGCCTTTAGTCCTTCCTCCGTAAGGGTCTGCTGCGTCACCATAGCGATGGAGTGCAGGATGAAGTCTTGCAGGTTCTCAGTGAGCTTCTTGTTCTTCAGGAACTCTCTAAATGGTTTCTCGGTACAGTCTACAAATAAGGACAATTTCAAATCTGTTACAGTGTAAAAGGATAATGAGACCTCCCACTAGGCCTGTCACTAATGAATGAAAAGCTTGTGTATTTTCAAAATGGTTATTATTGCATGTTGAATTACACTGTAATAACATAAAAGCAGTAATTTACCTTATGTCAGTGTGACTTAAATTCAATACAGCTACATTTTTAAAGGCAACATTAAACAGCAATCAATTCAGTGGGCAATATCCACCTAATTTTGTAATGCGAAAGTAAGCCATTTTCTACAAATATGCGAAACTTCTGATTAATTTACTGGATTAGGTAAATAACAAGAAGAATAGCAAAATGCAGTAAACGGTCAAATTACTTGTGCTACAAAGCAATGTGGTCATGATTACAATAATAAATGAAAATAATATGATAAGAAATACCAGTTTGCAGTATCAAGCATAGCACACTGTTTTTGTACAGTTAAAATATCTGGAAGCGAATGAGACCTGAACCCTCACACATTCAAGTTACAAATGTCCTCACCTGTTCTAACATTAAAAATAGTTAACACGGATTGTTAACACGGAACTGGACATTTTTCAACCGGCATAAATTTGAGTACTGTTTCTATTGTGGTATTGTGGGAATTGGCTTTTTTATATTTATTGATGATTATTCATATTTGGCAAAAAGGTCTTCGATAAGCCATGGTAGGACATCCAAAAAATAAATTGTGTAAAAGAAAGTGCATAGATCAAAGAATACTCTTATCGCAACCTAATTTTTGCTTGGATTAAAAATTGAAAAAAAAAAATGCTTTTTTAATAAGTTTTTATTTTCTGTAGTTTTCTTAATCACTTTTCTGAAAATGTGTATGTATATTATCTATAATTTTTCATTCAAATTCGTATGACATTGTGATTAATATTTCGAGGGAAATAATGTAAGGTGGGGTTGGCAAAAAGGTCTTCGATAAGCCATGGTAGGACATCCAAAAAATTAATTGTGTAAAAGAAAGTGCATAGATCAAAGAATACTCTTATCACAACCTAATTTTTGCTTGGATTAAAAATTGAAAAAAAAAAATGCTTTTTTAATAAGTTTTTATTTTCTGTAGTTTTCTTAATCACTTTTCTGAAAATGTGTATGTATATTATCTATAATCTATAATTTTTCATTCAAATTCGTGTGACATTGTGATGAATATTTCAAGGGAAATAATGTAAGGTGGGACTTGATTTAATGCACTGCCATTTGATTGGATCGTGGATGTTAGGCTATTATATTATTGGTTAATAATATTTCCCTTGCACACACAGCCTTGCTTGGGTAGTAGGCAAAGAAATGTACTGACTTTTGCAGAAAATATTTGAAATATTTTTTCTTTAAAATAACATGCACTGATTAATTGTGCACAATAAGACAAAGAACATTCATTAAGAAATTTTGATTTCATGTTGACTTTAAGAACAAAATTCTCTACTTCACAGAGATTTCTATTCGGACCTGAAATCTACAGTAAATGTCTGCGATAGATCTCTGATGTTCCATGTAAATCAGAGAGCTGCAGGGAAAACAACACATGGGGTCATACCCTGGTACTCCTCTGGGTGCTGCTCAAAGTCCAGACAGAAGGTAAGAAACTTCATCAGCATGCGTTTCTCAATCACAGTCAGCTGCTTACTGGCAAACACATCCGCCCGTGAACACGGTACCTTCAGGGGAGGAAGAAACAGGACAGCGCAGGTTAAAGTACTGACATGCATACACAAATATACATATTACACACAATCAGTAAAGAGGAGGAAGTAACAATTGCGAGAAAACGGCTTACCTTTAGCCCTGAATTACTCACACAGATGGATTGTGCATTACAATGCTGCATTTATTATTTTTAGTGAAATGAGAAACACCTTTTGCGTCAATGCTCTTATCAAGTACATTAGCAAATAGAAATGGATAAATCAAGCAGCAAATCAATTTAATCGTTTTATCTTAGCTGAACTGCTCTAATAATTCTGAATCAGGATGCTTCATATTAGACCTAAAATATAATGCAGTCATGAGGAAAACATGAAGAACTCAGAATTTTGGATTGGGAAGGAAAAATAACATAAAATATAATAATCATTGCGACCCTACATAGGACAAGCAGTTTGGAAAAATGGTCGCATGTCAAAAATGTCAGTTAATGCTAAATATCAATTGTCATTTTGAGCATTTTTACATTTATTTGATTCTGTTAATAGGATTCACTGAAAAAGATCAACTCCATACCTGCTCCACTTTTCCATTTCTATAGGTGAGGATGTGGCCGATGTTCTTGAACTCTGCGTAACGGCTCACATTAGATTTGATGAGCAGATCCACCAGTGCACCACGTGAATACATCAACTTTGAAGGGGGTCAAAGAGAACACTATAAATTTCATTTCATTGCCTTCTAAGTTCATTTAAAGCTAGAAGCCAGACTGCGATCACTACGTGATGGTGTTAGAAAGTCATTTTAATCGTTTGAAGCTAGGGATGCAATGGTGAGAAAATTTTCCCACCGATTAATAAACTTGTGACAACATCGATATTACAGATTACACCACACATTTTACAAGATATCTTTCACAAAACGAATGCTTGAAAATGGTGGATTCATTATTGTTCTTAAAACCACAACAATACAATAGTACACTGTAAACGTGTACAGTAGTGTCTGATGTTTTGCTATGCTAATTTAGAAGCATGAGCTTAGTTTGACAACAGGTATATGTTCAGTTTTATATGTTGCCTTATTCATTCAGCAATTGCTGTTAATCAAATCATTGTTACCAAGTAGCATGTTAGAATTTACTGAATTAGCTAGTTACAGCTAGTTACGTTTCTACTACTAAAAATAATGATAATTTTAAGTGTGATCAAAATGCATGAGTTAGCTTACTCTAATATTTAAATTAACACGTATGACAAAAAAAAATCTGACAGCTCTGAACTTTGAATTTCTTAACTCACATCACTCGGGTGGCAAGTAATCGCTGTATGGCTGTACAAACGAGTAGCACAGACTACCGCGGCAAGCCTATTTGAAGCATTTATTCACACATACAGGTGTAAACGTGAAGTTAATGACAGAGCATTTACTATTTCTATACCTTTAGGTGTCAGAATGCTTGTTTTTCGGTAAATAAAGCAGTTATTGGTTTCCTATTACTTTCTTTTTATCTTATATTCTGATTATCATATTTAATACAAACCTTGGAGACAAGGTCAATGTTGAATCTGCGTCCCTCTTTTACCAACTTTTGATATGTTATCTTCTTTTCCACCTCTACAGGTGGATCTGCTGGGCTGCTGATCAGCTGCGACTCTTTCTCTTCCTGTGATTGGCTGGGTTCTGAAATGTCGGATGTATGCTGCTCCTCCTTTGGCTCAGAGACTTCGTGCTCCTCGTTCGGCGTCTTAGCATCGGATGCTGTGGCGTCATCACCCGTAACCGTGTCCTGAGCCTCTGTAGAGTCACCGTTGGTCTCTTCTGATACAGTCTCAGCATTCACTGGCTGAAAGCTTGTTAACGGGGCCTTCGTTTCCTCTTCTTCCTCACTATAAATGACAAACAATAAATAGCATTTTGACGCTCTTTGATGTTGTGTGACAGATCGCTTTAGCCACCTCAGTTCGAGCGGCACATGAACCGTTCTTCTCCTCCTCTTTACTACTAGTTATAGAACCAAATAAGCATACATGAACACGAGAAGCTATGTTGAAAGAAAATGAAAGAATTATTGAAACGTATCTTGTGTCTCATTTAATCGCTCAATCAATGTTTCCGCAACAAAACAGCTTGGAAAAATCATGCCACATAACGTTGCACTTACCTCAGGAAAGATATTCAATGTCCTTAGCTCAATAGTTGGCCAGAAAAAGGATCTCAAGAGAGAAGTGATTTCACCAAATAAGCATACATGAACACGAGAAGCTATGTTGAAAGAAAATGAAAGAATTATTGAAACGTATCTTGTGTCTCATTTAATCGCTCAATCAATGTTTCCGCAACAAAACAGCTTGGAAAAATCATGCCACATAACGTTGCACTTACCTCAGGAAAGACATTCAATGTCCTTAGCTCAATAGTTGGCCAGAAAAAGGATCTCAAGAGAGAAGTGATTTTCTAAATTAATGCACTATATTACATATTCATAATATTTTTACTTAACCTGTTCTTCAATATTTAATGTATGTCTGAATAATCTGTCAAGACAACAAGTTTTTTATTAAAGCCATGATTTAAATGGTTAGATTTCCTGAAAACAGCTGGAGTAGAAAGATAATTGGCTATTGTCATTTTGCATTATTGACACTATTTTCCTAATTAATGCTGTTCAGTTGCTTTGTCACAATCTGTATTGTTAAAAGCGCTATATAAATAAAGGTGACTTGACTTGACTTGACTTTGTGTCAATAACCATGTCTAATTTTTAACCCTCTATTGTATTGCATGTTACATTAAGGGAACAATTGCAATTTCCTCGTGGTCTATGTCCTGACAGTCATTTTAAAATATCTTTCTGACACTGTACAATGACAGAGCATTTACTATTTCTATACCTTTAGGTGTCAGAATGCTTGTTTTTCGGTAAATAAAGCAGTTATTGGTTTCCTATTACTTTCTTTTTATCTTATATTCTGATTATCATATTTAATACAAACCTTGGAGACAAGGTCAATGTTGAATCTGCGTCCCTCTTTTACCAACTTTTGATATGTTATCTTCTTTTCCACCTCTACAGGTGGATCTGCTGGGCTGCTGATCAGCTGCGACTCTTTCTCTTCCTGTGATTGGCTGGGTTCTGAAATGTCGGATGTATGCTGCTCCTCCTTTGGCTCAGAGACTTCGTGCTCCTCGTTCGGCGTCTTAGCATCGGATGCTGTGGCGTCATCACCCGTAACCGTGTCCTGAGCCTCTGTAGAGTCACCGTTGGTCTCTTCTGATACAGTCTCAGCATTCACTGGCTGAAAGCTTGTTAACGGGGCCTTCGTTTCCTCTTCTTCCTCACTATAAATGACAAACAATAAATAGCATTTTGACGCTCTTTGATGTTGTGTGACAGATCGCTTTAGCCACCTCAGTTCGAGCGGCACATGAACCGTTCTTCTCCTCCTCTTTACTACTAGTTATAGAACCAAATAAGCATACATGAACACGAGAAGCTATGTTGAAAGAAAATGAAAGAATTATTGAAACGTATCTTGTGTCTCATTTAATCGCTCAATCAATGTTTCCGCAACAAAACAGCTTGGAAAAATCATGCCACATAACGTTGCACTTACCTCAGGAAAGATATTCAATGTCCTTAGCTCAATAGTTGGCCAGAAAAAGGATCTCAAGAGAGAAGTGATTTCCTAAATTAATGCACTATATTACATATTCATAATATTTTTACTTAACCTGTTCTTCAATATTTAATGTATGTCTGAATAATCTGTCAAGACAACAAGTTTTTTATTAAAGCCATGATTTAAATGGTTAGATTTCCTGAAAACAGCTGGAGTAGAAAGATAATTGGATCATTAAAAAGTTATTATTATAAAATGCGCAGTATGTGCAAATTAAATGTTTGTATACAAATCAGTTGTTAATTTTGACCTTTAATATTATAGTAATGTTCCAACTGATAGAGATCCTTGTATAGTTTACAGCATTAACAGAGATATTTTTTTTCCTTGAGAACAACTGCCATGTATTGTACATGATATATATCTAAATGAATCAATATGAATAAAATTGAATCAAGATCGGAATCATCTGAATCAAATCGTAAGCTTGCAAAAATAATCGAATCATGCACTTTGTGTCAATAACCATGTCTAATTTTTAACCCTCTATTGTATTGCATGTTACATTAAGGGAACAATTGCAATTTCCTCTTGGTCTATGTCCTGACAGTCATTTTAAAATATCTTTCTGACACTGTACACCTTGTGGTGGACTTACATTTTTTATCTTGAAGTTCAGCCACATTATTATTATTATATATATTCAGTCATCAAAAATATAATTCACAATTGTTAGTGAGAAAACCTCATATTAAAACATTTAGAATTGAAATGATTAGGATTTTATGAAAAATTGCATAGATGTGCAACATTAGGTGATGTTTATTATTGATTCTATTTATTATAATTAACTATCTGCCTTTTTAGTGCTTTTTGCTTTAATATTGAAGTGAAATTTAAATGATCCTAGAAGTCAATTCAGTTAGTTTGTTATGCAGCATGTTTATTATTCTGACATGTTGCACAATACCTTAAAATATCCCCCAAAATTTTATTTTAAAATTCAATGAAATTAAAAGCAAATGTGCATTCAAGAGACGAAACACACAGGCTCTGCCATCATAAATTTGTGAAGGACCAATTTTAGACTGTGAGTTGTAAGTGAAGAACAATTAATACTAACCTGGCATAACAGAAAACTTCTAAGTTGGAAATAGAGGAATCGACGGTGCTGAGAGGCACCGCATCCTCTCCCTCATCAATCAAGCTCCTCCATACTTGCTCCAACTCTGTGATCTGTACCTCCTGCTGATTCTGAGAACACACATTATAAACCAAAATCAACCACTGGCTACAAAACCACAAGGTGACCCACTACTTAAAACTGCTAAAAGTAGTATCAGTTAAAAAAAATTTTATTCAGTTGATACAATTTACATAAACTTGTATCCGAGTGAAAATGATAAAAATAAATTACCTTATATTCCTCAATCCATGACAGTAGGCCATTGAACGTGAAGCTTGCCCAGTTTCCAGCATAGTAGTTCCTTCTGTAAAATGAAAAAAATTATAATTTATTCAACATCATTCAAGTGTTTGTTGTTGCTCCACTTTTGTAAGTCACTTTGGATAAAGGCATAAACGTAAATGTTTACATAGATCACATTTCATTGACACTGAGCATCAAACTCCACTTCACTTGAAGGTACAAAACAGAAAAAAGCAAAACTGCCAAGCAATACATCTGAGTTTTAAGGAATCTTCCGGTCTATTAGTGTCTTGTGTAGTACCTGTCTAAATGCAGAACGCTCTGTCCGACTCTGGAGCAGGCTGCCGCAATAACAGACTCGGTGAGGACATCTGGAGCGAACCAAAAAAACTTGTGTACCGCCACGAAAAAGAAGAAAACGTAGTAATAACTACCATATAAGCAAGTGGAATATGACTGTTTTTGCACAGTTTATGAAACTGCAAGCAACATGAATCTGGCAATGCTAAAGGCTGCTGATGCTGCACAGTATTTGGACAGTCATTTACATAAGGTAAACATTTCCCGGATAACTCGCTGACTATTAAAATTAAGTGCTCGTACAAGCTCTAACTAAAGCCACATGTCAGTCTTATGCACACCCCTTCAAGTAAAGTGTAACCAATAAAACAAATGTTAGCATGTTCTCTGTAATCTTTTATCAAAATGTAAAAACTTAAGATCCATTTTTCACAATCCAATAAATTCCCGATGGATAAAACAGAGTTCCACAATCCTGTTCCAACTAAATACATCAAATTAGATCTTGAAACATTTACTATGTAATTATTACTAGTGCATCTAATAGTGCATCCTTATGTGCATTACAGTGACATCATTTCAAAAAGTCACCTGAATTGAAAAAACCTAATTATATTATTGGAAAATAATTACATTAATTAATTTCGTCTGTTTATAACAGATGCATCTCAATTACGCTCCTACCAGATCAGCAACTGTGCGAGGAGCCTCAATATAACTGTCCAGATAATACTGAAGATGTTTTTTTTTTAAAGTGTAAATAACCTCTGGCCGCCATCATTTAATGCCATTTATCCTATCCAGTATTGATTTTTCCACATCATGTTTGCTAAAGACAAACATTACCTGCCATAAAGTTCTGATGCCACATAGACATGCTGGGCGATAAATAATAGATTTGAGCTGGCAGGACTTTGATGACCGGGCAAAGCCCGAAATGCTTTCAGCAGGAATTGTATGAAATCATAAATCACTCTTCATTTTAGCGAACATTCCAAATGGATTCTATCTCTGCACCTTGAAAATCATTTTTCGGTTATTTATAGTCGAGGCTGAGGGAGCGAGGGAAGGACTGTGTGTGTGTGTGTGAGAGAGAGAGAGAGAGAGGGAGGGCAGGTCACTTCTTACACGCCACCCATTTATGTCACCCATCCCTCTATCTATCTCGCTCTCACACACAAACCATGCTGTTGTATCTGTGGGAAGTGTAAAGGAAGAGTTCAACCATAAATGAAAATTCTGCCATCATTTACTCACCCTCCTCGTTCTGAACCTGTATGACTTTCTTCTGCGAGAAAAACACAAAAGGAGAAACTCAGAGCTGCTTTTCCTTTTAATAAATAAGGGAACAAGCATACAAAGTGGTCCATACAGCTATTGCTCTATATTTCAAGTCTTCTGAAGTCATATGATGCTCTGTGTGAGGAATAAAGCAAAATTTAAGATGTCACTAACTGAAAATCGCTCCCTATGCCATAACTCTCAAATCTCATTCTTATTCAAGCTACAACATGTACAGGTGCATCTCAATAAATTAGAATGTCGTGGAAAAGTTCATTTATTTCAGTAATTCAACTCAAATTGTGAAACTTGTGTATTAAATAAATTCAGTGCACACAGACTGAAGTAGTTTAAGTCTTTGGTTCTTTTAATTGTGATGATTTTGGCTCACATGAGATAGTGAATTGGTGGGTTTTTGTTAAATGTGAGCCAAAATCATCACAATTAAAAGAACCAAAGACTTAAACTACTTCAGTCTGTGTGCATTGCATTTATTTAATACACAAGTTTCACAATTTGAGTTGAATTACTGAAATAAATGAACTTTTCCACGACATTCTAATTTATTGAGATGCACCTGTACAACATGACTGGTTATAAGACCCACAGCAAACCAGAAGTGTTGGCATCACTGATGCATCTTGACTAACTGATGCATCTTGACAATTTTTCTGATTTTATCCATTAATATAAAAGTAATGTTTTGCCACAATTTTATCTTATTTTTTTAAATTGAGGAATTGTGGTTTTGAAATCAAAATATTTGGACACATTACAATTCGACACGTTGACTGAGTCAATTATAACAGCTAAGAGAAAACAATTATCTGACCGCATAACGGCACACCCTATTAACCACTACTATTGTACAAGACAAATTTGTACAATATTTCCATCATAAATCATGCATCTTTTCTGCTAAATATCATTTGTCATTTCAAGTCATTTGTTTTGTTTACACCATGTTGACAACGTCATGTGTTCTATAACCAGATGGTTAACAAAGAGAATGTTACTATAATCAAGTTGTTGTTACGTATTTAAGTTGACTTGTTAAAACATTAAAAAAAAAAATTTTCGCAATCAAGATTACATTTTTTGCCAAATCGCCCAGCCCTAACTATATGGCTTTAGAAAATTTTGAAAGTACTACTTTTATGGTTCTTTTTTTTATTGTACAAGACAAATTTGTACAATATTTCCATCATAAATCATGCATCTTTTCTGCTAAATATCATTTGTCATTTCAAGTCATTTGTTTTGTTTACACCATGTTGACAACGTCATGTGTTCTATAACCAGATGGTTAACAAAGAGAATGTTACTATAATCAAGTTGTTGTTACGTATTTAAGTTGACTTGTTAAAACATTTAAAAAAAAAAATGTCGCAATCAAGATTTAATTTTTTGCCAAATCGCCCAGCCCTAACTATATGGCTTTAGAAAATTTTGAAAGTACTACTTTTATGGTTCTTTTTTACAGGCCGGTGAAATGGCTGGCTTGTTTTCTTCATTGCTGCTCTATTAGCGGCAGGTGAGGGAACAGCTCTGATTTAAGATGAACTAAACGTGCATCTCAGTCAGGCCTGTCAGCTAATGAATGCTGAGCCTGTAACAATGCTCTTCAGTAAAGGGTCTTGTAACTTCACATTTTCGGCATCCTTTAGCCTCTACAGCTGCTGTGCTTCAGTGTACATTCATCATGAAATACTGTTAAATAAATACAGTTACCAGTTAACAGATGGCAGAATAGCTGTCAGTGCATTAGTGCAGCAGCTCCAGATGAGAACTTATCTTATTGGTTGGTGAGTGTTTAATTGCGGCGTGAAGAAAAACCTTCTTAACACACTCACTGAAACATGTGATTTAAAAAATTGTAGACTTCAGCGTGAATAACTTCATAGGAATACATTGTTTTGATTCATTATGTTATGATTAGGGCTGCACGATAAATCGCATGCGATATTTAACGCGCATCTTGTCAGAAAGCCGGTTCTGTAATCAGCGGTAAATCTCCATCACCTGCGGGCTTTCACATTGAGCAGCATTAACTACACAGAGCCGTTGTTCACTGACGAGCTGCGCAAAAAATCGCATGAATATGAACGTGGTTTTGCGCAGCTCGTCAGTGAACAACGGCTCTGTGTAGTTAATGCTGCTCAATGTGAAAGCCCGCAGGTGATGGAGATTTACCGCTGATTACAGAACCGGCTTTACTGATAAGATGCGCGTTAAATATTGCATGCGATTTATCGTGCAGCCCTAGTTATGATTCATTTAACAAATGATGCTTGAATTGAATATTCATGCTTGGTGTGTGAATAGGCCTTGACCTTCATCTGATATATGTGAACTAAATCAAAGAGATACTTAAACCTCACAAAAATGTAATATATTTTGTTTATTATTTATTGTTGTTATTGTTTATTGTACATTTTTTAAAAGCATTATATCATTTAAAATTATTTTTTACAATATGTTACCATTTTTTCTTTTTTAAATTGCAGTACAAATAATTTTTGCATTAAGATAATAAAAATTACAGGAGGAAAATGTGCTTATTTGTAATGTCATCACAGTGCAAAAAAATCCTAATGGTCCTAAAACAGGCTTTATTTTCTTTGAGCAAAATATTATTTCATTTTTTGAAATTGTGGAGAAATATGATCCAGAGAAGTTAATTTGTTTAATGAGATTTACTTAAAAAAAAAAAAAAAAGGTTTATGGCCAGGAAGAAATGTGACCCTGGAGTACAAAACCAGTCGCTGGGGTATATTTGTAGCAATAGTCAAAAAAACTTTGTATGGGTCAAAATTAAAGATTTTTCCTTTATGCCAAAAATCATTAGGATATTAAGTAAAGATCATGTTCCATGAAGATATTTTGTAAATGTCCTACCATAAATGTATTAAAACTTAATTTTTGATTAGTAATATGCATCGCTAAGAACTTCATTTGGGCAACTCTAAAGGCAATTTTCTCAATATTCTGATTTTCTTGCACCCTCAGATTCCAAATTTTTAAATAGTTGTATCTTGGCCAAATAATTTTCATTGCCACATGTGGAAAAAGTTCATTTGAGATATTTTATAATCCCAAAATACTCATGAAGGTGAATAAATGATGCCACACATTTGAGCTTCCATGTTTAATAATTATTATTAATGAATTAAAAATAAAAACGCTATTTAATAAAATATTTAAAACTTTTGAAATATATGATGTCAGGGACAGAGTGCAAGCATATGCCTCTAACATACCTCTGTAATTTTAGCTAAGCGAATTATGAATATTTCTATTCCAGAGTGTCTATTTACAAAAAAAAGACACTGCTTTAACTCAAGCAGCAGTGGTGTAGTGAGTAAGACTCATGGCAGTAACTTAAAGGGTTAGTTCACCCAAAAATGAAAATGTTGTCATTAATTACTCACCCTTATGTTGTTCCAAACCCGTAAGACCTCCGTTCATCTTCAGAACACAAATTAAGATATTTTTGATGCATTCTGACAGCTCTCTGACCCTCCCATAGACAGCAAGGGTCCTTACATGATCAACGTCCAGAAACGTAGCAAGGAGATCGGTAAAATAATCCATGTGACATCAGGGGTTCAACCGTAAATTTACGAAACTAGGAGAATACATTTTGTGCGCAAAAGCAAAAAAAAAAAATACTTTATTCAACAATTTGTCTCCTCCGCGTCACCCTGGCGCCATTTTGGAGAGTATCCACTGAACGTAAACAGCTATGCTATTCTGTGTAAGCTGCGCCACGCAGACACGTTGTTTATGTTCAGATCAAAGCGCAAACAACGTAGAAAACGTAACCGGTCTTACGGGTTTGGAACGACATGAGGGTGAGTAATTAATGACAGCATTTTCATTTTTGGGTGAACTATCCCTTTAAGATGCAATTGACCCGAGTTCGAATCCGCCTTTTGCCGAACTCACTCTTCTCCCGGTCTTCTCCTTTTTCCTATCACATATCAGATCAGAAAGGCATTCATTTCAATAAAAATTAAGGAAATATTCGAAAAGTGGAAATAAAGTGCCTCACAGGAATTTAATAATTAAGTATTTATCGGGAAGGGTTAGGGGTAGGTGTAGGGAGGGCTTTATTGTCCCAATAAGGCGGCATCCATTTAATAATTTTAATACATATGATAAGTTACACCCAATGTGTTATTATTGCATACTGTTTATAATGTTCTACCATACAGAGGTGCAAATATCTAAGTATAAATAGCATCCAACTACAATTTACACGTATTGCAAAGATACTGCTTTTTCACATATTGTAAATTGAATCTATTGTTATATGCACTTAGTGTAAGTAGTATCGCTAAGAAAAAACGTATATTTTTCCAATAGTGTAAATAAAATCACTTAGTGCTTGACCTGTGCATATTTCTCTCCTAATTCGTGCAAGATGATTTTTTCACTGGAGAAAGCAATATTATGGATAGTCTCGTATTTTAGCAGTCAAACAGTTAAAGTTAAAAACGTCTCGATGGATTTGTCTCTTCCAAACATGCAGCTTTTCACAAAAGGTAACTGATGGACTGGACTGGAGTGTGGATTATTGTGATGTTTTCATCAGCTGTTTGGACTCTCATTCTGACGGTACCCATTCACTGCAAGTGATTCAATGCCGAGTTTCTCAAAATCTGTTCCGATGACGAAACAAAATCACCTATATTTTGGCTGGCCCGAGGGCGAGTATAAGTTTTCGAGTGAACTACTTTACAAAAGATGTATAAATATATATATATATATATATATATATATATATATATATATATGTATATATATGTGCAATATTGACAAAAAATAATATCTCGATATTTTCTGGGATTTTATCGATAATGATAATTAGACAATATTTTGCTGAGTGTGTTATTGTGCTGGTACCTTAAGGACTGTTGTGGACAGCTGACTGCTAAAGTTTTTAATATTCTTCATATTCTGTGTGGTGGTCAGTTCACACTGAGAGAAATTAATCTTTTCCAATAAGTTTAAACTTATTTTTACATTTTATGGGCATTTTTACCTTTATAAAGCCATTTTTTCTAAAAGTGCCCATTATCTTTTGAATGAAATTCGTACATTTAATCAGTGAATTACAGTGATGTAATATATTACAAAAGATATATATATATATATATATATATATATATATATATATATATATATATATATATATATGTGCAATATTGACAAAAAATAATATCTCGATATTTTCTGGGATTTTATCGATAATGATAATTAGACAATATTTTGCTGAGTGTGTTATTGTGCTGGTACCTTAAGGACTGTTGTGGACAGCTGACTGCTAAAGTTTTTAATATTCTTCATATTCTGTGTGGTGGTCAGTTCACACTGAGAGAAATTAATCTTTTCCAATAAGTTTAAACTTATTTTTACATTTTATGGGCATTTTTACCTTTATAAAGCCATTTTTTCTAAAAGTGCCCATTATCTTTTGAATGAAATTCGTACATTTAATCAGTGAATTACAGTGATGTAATATAATGAAGTAATAATACTTCGTTACAGTACTTAAGTATTTTTTGGGAGTATCTGTACTTTACTTGAGTTTTTATATTTCAGCCAACTTTTACTCCACTACATTTCCTAATTAAAATGTATACTTTTACTCCGATACATTTCCCCGAAGCATATTCGTTACTTACTACAAAATAGACTGAAGTCAGAAGAACACAGAATGCAGGAAAGCAAGTTTGACGAATCAGTGGTCTGGCGTTTGCAAGTTAGACTCCTAAAAACACCTTGTGTGTTGTTGTAATGATGTGCGATCTGACATTATCAAGTATATAACCAAATCAAGCACAGAGTGCACGCACATTGATTTATTAGTCTATTAAAACTCAAAATTAATGTTATGAAAAAAAAATTTATGTTTTTATATAGTCAACATAAAACGTTGAATACTGATATCTGAAATTATTTAAATAATAAAAGATACTTTGAATGTGAAATTAAAACCACCAGCAGGTGGCAGCAAGTCACTGTTAATAAGTGAGTAATTGCGATTGAACTGAATCATTTAAACTGTTGATTCATTCAGGAACAAAACAGCGCCATGTTGCTCAGAGACGCAAAACAGCGTTGTGGCTTTGTTTGGAATTATTTTTGTTGTCGAAATAGAGCAAAAACAGGCAATATGGTGTCTAAAACGTCTAAAGTCTCTTAATTAACTTCTTGTTTATTGAACTGTAGTAAAAAATCAATATCACATTTGTAATCATGGTAATATTTGGAGATAAACTGCACTCTTCGTGTGAAATTGATTATTAACTATATGAAATGGTATAAACATATACATTTTCTGCCATCATGTCTTGAATTTGTGATCATTCTAAATGCATTTTAATAGACTGAATCATGCAGTGAAAGAACGCACTCTAAATGCACACGTGCACTACTCTAGACTTCACATAATGTATGCGTGCGCTCGTAGGGGTGTTTTGAATGGTTTTTGCTAAATACTCGATAATGTCAAATCGCACATCGTTAAAACAACAATTACGATATTAACGCAGACGATATATATCGAACACCCCTAATGTACTTTTTTTTTTTTTAATAAACCTTGAGATATGCTTCAGAGACGCAAAACAGCATTGTGGCTTTGTTTGGAATTATTTTTGTTGTCGAAATAGAGCAAAAACAGGCAATATGGTGTCTAAAACGTCTAAAGTCTCTTAATTAACTTCTTGTTTATTGAACTGTAGTAAAAAATCAATATCACATTTGTAATCATGGTAATATTTGGAGACAAACTGCACTCTTCGTGTGAAATTGATTATTAACTATATGAAATGGTATAAACATATACATTTTCTGCCATCATGTCTTGAATTTGTGATCATTCTAAATGCATTTTAATAGACTGAATCATGCAGTGAAAGAACGCACTCTAAATGCACACGTGCACTACTCTAGACTTCACATAATGTATGCGTGCGCTCGTAGGGGTGTTTTGAATGGTTTTTGCTAAATACTCGATAATGTCAAATCGCACATCGTTAAAACAACAATTACGATATTAACGCAGACGATATATATCGAACACCCCTAATGTACTTTTTTTTTTTTTAAACCTTGAGATATGCTCTAGCTTTCTCCAGGAGTTGATTCTGGAAGCCACCCACTGAACCCGATTAGCTCCATACACCGCACTATACCAACTGCAGGAAAATAACCTGAAGCCAGAGGGAATTTCAGTTTGCTGTTTTGTTCTTGATTATTCTATTTCACTACAGGCCTCTGCGCTAAACAATATAAAAAAATTAAAAGGTCCACAGGCATCTGCTCCCACCACAGCAGACCCTGAGCATGGACTCTCCGGGGACAGCCGGGTCAGGTGCGAGTTCACCAGCTGACGGGGCGCGACCAACGGGAAAGCAGTCCTTCACACAGTCAGGGGGTCTAGCAGGCATCATTATGGGGTCCGAAGTATTCATTAACAACTGCTCCCTGTCCATATCCTCATTTGTTCCCGTATCCAGCAGCAAAAACGGGGGTAACTAGGGAGTCTGGGACAAGCACGCTTGTCTGAGCAACCTTGACACGGAAAGGTGTCTGAGCAGAAATAGTCCAAGCTGTGAGTGTCCCCGTGTCACCGGTTGCCTTGGGACCAACTGGCTCTGGTGGTTTTGCATGAGTGGATCCAGAAGTGGGCCAGATATATTCATTTGCACACCATCAATCACAGCACGAGAACGTTGCTCTTAGCCATCGCACAAACCCCTCTTTTTTTTACACACTACCTCTCCTCCCTGCTATGAAGAACAATGCCCTGAACCGGGAAGTAACTTCATCTCCTGCTGGCTTCAGCACTGTCCTGAGGATCTGGTCTGCATATAAACACACTTCTGCGCTTTGAATGAGGACACTAGAGAGAACGAGGACAGTATCATTCCAGGGGTCTCACTCTGCACCACACAGTCCAGTAAGGTATCCGCCCTCCAGAGGGTCCGCACCACAAACCTACAATTCAGTGCTGGGGTTGAAGCAGGTCACAGATTCAGGGTCAGCGCCAGTTCTGTTAAACGACAAACTGGTTTATGTGCACTACTTTAGAGCATTGCTGCACTCAATAAAGTAGGGCTAAACTCTAGACCAGGCCAGGAAATGTTAAAGGGGTCATATGATGCGATTTCAAGTTTTCCTTTCTCTTTGGAGTGTTACAAGCTGATTGTGCATAGATAAGATCCCTGAAGTTGCAAAGACTAAAGTCTCAAAACCAAAGAGATATTCTTTATAAAAGTTAAGACTCTGCCATGCCCCCCTAAAACGGCTCGTTCTAACACGCCCCCACATATCTACCTCACTATGTGGAAATATTAGCATAATGCCGCCCAAATGTTCACGCAAAGAAAGAAGGCGTGGTTTCAGTAACCGCAGTTAGTGTTGAAGCAGCATGTCAGGGAGACGCTGTGTGTTTCTAGGCGAAAGCAAAAGCACTTTATTTGGCCTTCCGGAAGTAGATGCATTGAGGAATCTTTAAGATTACTTACAACAGAACAGCAATGCATTTTATGGACGACCGTTTCGTGAACCTAGGAGAGGAGGTAATTCTGACTTTGCTATGACAATCTGCCGCTTCTGAATCAGCTACTGTTTTGTTATTAGTTTAAATATTTGCTATTGACTGCTCAAATGCGGAGTTTTGCGCATGTGTGTGTGTGCGCGAGCGAGAGAGTGAGAGAGCGAGCGAGCGAGCGAGCGAGAGAGAGAGCAAGCGAGCGAGCGAGAGAGAGAGAGAGAGAGAGAGCGCGAGAGAGAGAGCGAGAAAGTGAGAGAGCGAGAGAGAGCAAGAGAGCGAGCGAGAGAGCGCGAGAGAGAGAGAGAGAGCGCGAGAGAGAGAGCGCGAGAGAGAGAGCGAGAAAGTGAGAGTGAGAGAGAGCAAGAGAGCGAGCGAGAGAGCGCTACACAAAATAATGATCTTTAAAAAAGCATCATATGACCCCTTTAAACTAGAACTGTCCACTTTAAAACTCACTGTGCATTCTTGGTTAGTATTCAGAAGGTTCTGGTTTCAATTCCTTCGCTGTTGTGCCCTAGACTCCTAACCCCAGATTACCGCAAGGGAGATGTTTCTGTAATAAGTGTACTGCAAGTTGCTTTGGGTAAAAATGACTTCATATAAAATATTTATTATTAAAACTGACTTTGACCTTAGTTATCAGTAATTATTATTATTAGATCTGTTTTTGCGGCTTGTAGCAATATTCTATTAAATTATAAAATTATTATTATCAACAAAATTAATATTACACTAAAATATTAGTATTCATATTATTATTAGTAGTAGTAAAGCCAATTCTTCAAATAGCAGGGTTCTTCAAATAGAGTTGAGAAGAGGTGTTAATGACGAGCTGTCAAAATACCCTCCTGGCTTGCACAGCCACTGACAGCCAGCTATCAAGATGTATTAAACACACGCACACACACACACACACACACACACAAGTTTGTTTTTATGGTTTATGGGGACTCTCCATAGGCGTAATGGTTTTTATACTGTACAAACCGTATTTTCTATTGCCCTACACCAACCCTACCCCTAAACCTACCCCTCACAGGAAACTTTCTGCATTTTTAGATTTTCAAAAAAACTCATTCTGTATTATTTATAAGCCTTTTGAATTACGGGGACACTGAAAATGTCCTCATAAATCACCTTCTCGTTGTAATACCTGTCATACCCATGTTATTATACAAATTTGTGTCCTCATAAACCACATAAACATGCACACACACACACACTCATTATTAGAATAGAAATATTCATTAAAAATATATGTTCGCAAAAGTATATGAGTACATTCAATGACTGAAATAAAAAAATAAACAATCTAAGTCAAAGATTTTTAAAGCTTCTTTTGGAAGCTTTTAATGTTATTATTTTTTAATCCAAGCGTCAATTTGAGACCTTGTAAAAATGCCTTTTTTGTAATTATATGACCCCTGTTTAATTTGATATGATTTGTTATTATTTATTATATCATACAAATGCTAAAAAAAATGCCATACAAAATATGGGAACAATTCAATAAAACCAATAATTATTCCTGCAATATTATGCATTGTAATTTGGCAAATTATTAGTAAAAACAAACAAAAATCACATTTTATAGTAATGTACTTACAACAGAATTATGGGACAAGACATTCCTTTTACAAGTAGAAATGTGAAGCTTGTACTTTTTGGTGACTACAAAACAAAAAAATATAGTATAGAACATATAAGTTGGTATAGTACGCATAATGTTTAAGTATTCTGGATATATACGTTCAAAACAGTGTATATGATTTGTTATTATTTATTATATCATACAAATGCTAAAAAAAATGCCATACAAAATATGGGAACAATTCAATAAAACCAATAATTATTCCTGCAATATTATGCATTGTAATTTGGCAAATTATTAGTAAAAACAAACAAAAATCACATTTTATAGTAATGTACTTACAACAGAATTATGGGACAAGACATTCCTTTTACGAGTAGAAATGTGAAGCTTGTACTTTTTGGTGACTACAAAACAAAAAAATATAGTATAGAACATATAAGTTGGTATAGTACGCATAATGTTTAAGTCTTCTGGATATATACGTTCAAAACAGTGTATTTTAACATTCATCCTGGTGTAATGTCCTGTCTGTAGATGTCGACTGTACATGATTTACTGTATATGCTTGTGTGTACAAACTGAGGGACCAGTCTGTTTTTTTTTTGTTTTTTTTTTAATAAATGTATTTATTTATTTTTTTCTTTGAATCTCGGTGGTTTTTAAAAGAACATTGAAAAAACAAGTTGGTTGATTGAATTTCATAGAACTTTTGACAGACCCCCCCAAACCACTATACGTATCTCCAAATTAACCATTTGCTCCTGAAACAAAACAAGGGCTTTTTAGAAGCCCACTTATGATTCATATATTTCAAGAACATTCTCCTTATCTCGAGATATGCCAGAATGCACCGGAGAATATATTTCAGAGCAGCTTTGTCTATTCTCTGAATATTCCTATCTGCATGTTCCAGATGTTTCTGCGGCTTTCTTCATCGCCAGTCAAGGGTTTTGAAAAATCAGCTTGTATTTTAACTGCGTGCTGTGAAGAACTTGCTTTCTACTTTCTGCATACCATAGATCTCCAGAACCTTTTTTGTGCTGTGTAGTTCATTGGTAAACAAAAAGAGATGACCATATCTCCCAAAACAGACAGAAGCAGCACGGATAACCCTTAAGACCTTTCTTTTCCGCTGCTTTCTTGACTTTAACATCACAGGCTTTGTCACTGATACTTATTTCTTAGGCTGGAATAGGGACAGGTGTTTATAGCTTCAAATAAGACAGATTGGTGACACTTGATCTTCTTTAGTCTGCTTTTTTAAGCACGTCTTGTCCATGCTTAAAACAACAGCGGAAAACAAGACAGATGGCTTACAACAGGAGAACCCTTTTTTCTTCTCTTGCTCGCTCTCCCTCTCTCTCATATCTGACGCACCAGGGATGCTTTTAACAAGAGAGTTTGTCGCAGCGTTTGTGATGGAGGGGTGTCTTCATGTCAACCGCTTGTTCTCCGGGGGATTCGGCTCTTTTTTTTTCATCTGAGGGAGAAATTAAAAGCAAAACCTGTGTGGATTGAAATCATTTCGTGTGGGGTTTCATCATGTGCCATTACCCTGTATGTTCAGAGGCATTTAGTTCTGGCTGGTTTTGAAAGCAAAATCAAGGCGACGAGTGCTACAATGCTTTCCGCAAGAAACAAGCGCTCTTTATCTTGCGAGAGCCTGCACCTTTAGCCACAGTCTTCTGTGAGTTCCTCAGGCTTTGATACTCGCTTCTAAGAGTCCTCATTCACAGCTTCTGTGTTTGGAGAGTACATCTACTTTGCTGTTTTGTTGCCTGTTATTACTTTCCGGCCGGTTAAAAATGTCTCCAAGGACGGGTCTTACCATCTCCTGCTTAACTGTTGTATCGTACAAGCATTTTGGAGAGCCAGTGTTGATTAAGAAGGATTTAGATTACCATTCAGACAAGGAGAGTATACACAATTCATCAACAGAGCCACCACAATGAAAACTAGACTAGACCTACATGTGGAAAAGTTGCAGCCTTTGCCGCTGCAACTTTCACAGTGTTTGTTCAAAGATCTGGCGTTCGTTCAATCGGTGATTTCGAAATACCGTGGCATAATTTTTCATACTTAACGGCAACTTTGAAGTGGAATTCAATGGAGACTTCACAGTTCATTTCATTTGCCTCTCAGCTCTTTTTGAGGGTGGCCATCTTGAGTAGAGAGAGGTGAGCGGTGGCAAAGCAACGTACAACGATAGCATCTGTCAGGCCCCTCCTAAACTCTCCAAATGTAACATCCACGAGAACATTATTGCATTATAAATCTCACCATAAATATAAATTAAA